AATTTATTTTAGTTTCTTTCAGCTAAGTATAATGAATATCGATCAAATGTATTATGAGTTAATGGTATTCCAAATGTATCAGCAAATAAAAGCTTAAAGTGTAATAATAGTGATCGAAAATTATCTGATGATATAGCAGATATAATTAATGATTCAGAATTCTGGAGAGTTTTATTATTATTACAAAATTTGTTATATCCTTTGTGTGGATTTCTCAATAAGTTACAAAAAGATACTACAAGATTATATAAAGTTGTTTATTGTTTTGCCTATATGGTAAAAATTTTTTCAAATCATCCAGATCAAGAGTTTGCTAAAAAAAATCATTAATTGAGTAGAATATCAGTAGAAATATTGGGAACAACCATTGTTATTATTGTCTATTGTTCTTCATCCATCATACAAACTTTTTAAATTTAATAATACTGTTATAAATCTTACTTAGACACATATTGGACAATAGTTGAAGTACTATTTTCAAGCATTCTTTAATTTACCATCACGTTCAATTCTTAATGAAATGATTAAGTATAAGCAGGAAAAAGATCTTTATAATAATACATTATTTCAACAATTTTAGAGAAATTTACTTGATTTTTGGAAATCTACAGCAGGTATTAGTCCTGAACTAGCTAAATTAGCAATACATATTTATGGAATATGTATTAATTCTGTATCAGTTGAAGGGCTTTAGTCTTCTATGGGTTTTTGCACACAACTAAAAGAAACAAATTATTGGTATTTATTTATATTATAATTAGACTATTCATAGTTAACTCATTAATATTATCTCTAATTTTAGTTCATTATTACTAATAATTTTTATTATTAGCCTAAAAAAGTGTTGGCAATGAGCCAAATACGTAGTAATATTTTATTTAATTATAAAAATTTAAAAGCAAATAATCAAACATCAAATTTTTGTATTCTGATATCTATTTTATAGACTGATAATTCTGAAAAAAATAATATAGATTCAAATGAGAATACTGGTGATTTTGAGGAAGATAAAAATGTAAGTATTCAAGTTTCAGAAAATAATATTGATGAATTTATAGTTGAAGAAAAAAATTAATGGATGATGATTATTAATCAATAGATTGATGCAACTTAAAGTGAAAATCAAGTAGATAATACAAGAGATCAAATTTTTTTAAATAGTGAATTTGATAAAGATTTTGATTTAGCTAGAAGAAATATTCATCCTGCAGATAATACTTCAGCAAAATAGGATTTAATTACTTTATTTGTGAATAATTTAGAACCTCCAACTTATTTGATGATTGATTAATATTCTTATGAATTGTGCTAGAACTATATATATGTACATGTGCAATATCTATAATTTATTGTATGGGTTTTATATAACAACCTATGCTTTTTTCGAAAGCTTATTCTCACTAGTCTATAATAAAAATTATATAACATATGATTTTTATATAGACCAGTATGAATTTAGTTATTTTTTATTATAGCAAAAATTGAATTCGGTTTTTGCTAAAATTATGTAATAAATTATAGTTATTATTCTATTTTTAGAACACAAATGTTTAAAAATTGGATCACTTTCAAGCTAAAATATCTCGATAAATTATTATATTAATGTTGGGTAAAAATTAAAATATATGTAGATAGAAACCAGTACTTTAATCTGAATTAAACAACTCAAAATTTTTAAAAAATCGTCATAGACCTATTTTCCTAGACTATGACCTATATAATTATATTTATTAGTGATTTATCATATAGTCAATTGTAATTTCATATAGAATATTAACTATAAGCAGCCAATGAAATTTCAAAGATCGACAACCAATCAGGTAGATTTTTAACTATGTTAATAGGAGCAACAATTTTTTAATTTTAAATTTAGCCAATCAGAATTTTTGATAATCAAACATAGCAACTTGCTTATAAACTATAAACTTTATTTTACTATATTCTTAGTATATTTCACCACATTCCTAGTATAAACTATACATTTCATTTTAATACGTTTTTGGTATTTTACCTTAAATTAAACTCACTAAATTGATAAAAAAGTTAAATGCATTTATTAATTCTACTAACCAAACCTATTATTTTATATATTATGTAACAATCTAAATTTATTGATAATTCTGTTATATATTTATTTATACATATTTAATAGTTTAACTATATCAAACAAACTAATAAATCACATGTTATTACCTTATTTATAAATATTAATACTCTTTTTAATCAATCGTATTACTTAAACAAAATATAATATTAAATATAATCCAAACTAGAGGTACAAGTTATAGCTAGTATTATATAGTGATATGATAGAATCATCTCAAGGATTGTTATAACTAAGTTTAAATTTTCATAACTTGCTGTAACTATAGTAAAAGTTATAGCATTATAGCCATAACTTATTATTAGTATAATATTTACTATAGTTACGACAAGTTACGAAAATTTAAACTTAGTTACAGCAATCATTGAGATGATTCTATCATATCACTAGTATTATATAATTTAAAAAACTATGAACACAATATTTTAGATGTTTATATACACAATATTGACCCGAATTAGCATTAGAGTTAAAGTTAAGAGGCTTATATATGTAATAATTGACCGAAATTATTATGTGAGTATTGTGCTTATAGCAATAGCTAAAAACAATTATATTGTCATATGATAAAGTCATATGATATCATATGATAAAGTCATATGATTAGTCATATAAGTCATACAAGTCATATGATATCATTTGCTAACACTGCTTTTTACAATAGAAGAAAAGAAGAATATCTCTATTAAAAATATCTTATTCTATTCAAAATACTAAATTAATACTAATACTAATAGCAACTCTACTTTTTTTTTTATATTTTTAAAATTTCAAAATAATATGATTACTATTATAGCTATCAGTATTTATATTAATAATATATATATATATATATATATTTTTTAGCAATTATGCTAATATTTTATTTAATCAAAAATTTTAGTCTATACTAAAACATTTCTATCTAGTATATATTACTATCTAGTAACTACTTTTAAATATTAACTCACTCAGTTACTACTTTAGTATCTAAATACAATCTGCTATAGTAATCTTTAATTCTTTATTTTTAGATTTATTATATAAGTAATTGAAAGTATCTCAAAAGAAAGATATTATAGTCTATCATGTTTGCTAATTATATTTATAAATTTTTTAAATCTTTTAAAATTTTATCTAATAGACTACTATCTTTTACTAATTTAAAATCTAAACTAAATACCCTACTATTCTTATCTACTCTTTTTTTATCTATTAGTATTTGATCTGATTTAAATGTTTTTTTTAATTTTTTTTTTTTTTTTCTTTTCTTTTTTAACTTATACTAGTTTTCTTATCTTTCATTATTATTTTTTCACTTTTTTTCTAGTTATTTATCTCTGTATATCTTTTGGTTCAGATACCTATATATACATATTCAATCTAAAGATTCTAAAACATATACTAAAACTTCATAGTAGACTTTTTTGTACTGATTACTTCTTTTATTTTTTCTATTTTACTTTTGTTTAAGATCTTTTGCAACTATTTAATATTTTAAACTTGCTTTTTATCTTTGTTTATCTTTGTAATAATTTGTTTTATTTTTTAAAAATTCTAACTTTCTTTTTTTCTCTTATCATTTTATACCTTTTTTCAAACTTCTTTAATTATTTTTGTTAAAGTTTCTTATGCTTTTTTATAACAGATAATGTGTTTGTTTAACTCTAGTTTTCTAAAATACTTTTTGCACATATTGTCTCTATATATATTAGATTTTCTAATATTTAGTATTCTGATAATAAGAAGTAAGTTTTTAATATATTTGACTTTAAATATATAGAGATAATTTGATTTTGTATTTCTTTTTTATTATTTATAATAGCTTTTTAGAAAGCCTTTAAATACTTTTAATTTTGGTTACTAAGACAATATTAATACTAGTTATTTTTTTTTTTTTTTTTTTTAGCCAAATCTATTTAGCTTTGTATATTATTTAAACTATTTTCTTAACAAAGGCTTTAAATAGTATATTTAATTTGTAACTTTCCTACTTTGAAATGAACTTAATATTTTTGATACTAATATTGTTAATTTTTATTAAAGTGTTTTCAGTTGTATTTTCTTTTGCTAACTAATCTGCTATATTATTGTATAGATCTCCTGAATGAGCTTTAACCTTGATTAGTTCTAATTATATTTTTTTGCTTCTGCAAACTTTAACTATTATCTATAGAAAGCTATTGTTTTTAAGTTTTAGCTAATATTTTGTACTTTCATTTTTAAGACTTTTTGTTATTGCTAATATTGCATATATACTATCTGTACAAATTTCTACTGTGTATTTATTTAGTGCTATTATAGCAGTATAGTATAGAACCAACAGATAGTTAATCATCTATAGCAGACTACTTAAATTAGATAATAACTAAAGTTGTATATATAGCTTGTTGTATACTCATCATATAGCTATAAAACCTTAGATGCTATTCTTGTAGTAGTTTGTAATAATAAACTAATAAAATCTAATTAGCAAAAAAAGCTACTCACACACTCTTCCTGTAAATCATTTTGACTATTTTCAGAGCTAAAAGAAAACTCAGATTTGCTTTAGAATATCAATAAAAAACAGCCTAATAGTCATTAAGAAAAGAGAAAGAAGGCCTCAAAATACAAATACTTTAATAGAAAGAACAAGAAAAATATTAGAAACCAAAAGAACTTTAAAAGGTGTTACTGTCAAAAACTACTACGAAAAACTTTTTTTTCAAAAAACTGAAAGATTTGGTCTTACTCTGAAGTACAGATCTATTTATGTAATACAAACACATAAAAAACAGGAAAACAAACAAATGTGTCAACAAATACTAACAAGACGTACCATGTGACAACTAATAGAAAAGTAATGTGCAAGTCTAAAGCTAGAAAATTCACAGACAAGAAGAAAAAATTACAAGGAATTTAGAAAAAAGTACAAGGTCTTGTCAAAGTTTGGTTTTTGTCTTTTGAAGTTCCTTATCTATGGGTTATACATATATAGTTCATGCTTGTATTTTTCTTTAGTAAAAGATGCTTCTTCTTGTTTTGTACTATGAGCTTCTCAAAATAGCCTTATGTCATAGTATTTAACAGCATATTTTTGGGCTTGAGCTTTTTCTCGTTGATTTCTAAATAATACTAAAGCATAGCCTTTATTGTTTCCATTT